TATTTTTACAATCCAGATGTCTTGAATGCTTCTATTAATCTTCGAGTTTAGAAATACTGTTAGTATGTGCTCTATAGTGAGTGTTGTTGCACTAAATGAGTAAATTGGTGGTCGAGTTTTGGTGAAGATGTGGGCGGTGTTAAAAAGGTCTGTTCCAGTCCGAAGCTAATTTTATGCATTGACTACGTGATAGTTTTGTGTTGTAGTTGTTCCTGGAAATTGCGGCTGCTATTTGCACAGCCTTTGTCGGACTGAAATTATTAATAAATTGTTTTTTTTTTTTTTAGAATGTTGTTGTAGCAGCATACAAATTCCCCAAAGACTTTTTGGGGAGTGTTGCTGGAGTGACAGTCCTTGGCCAGATATAAATCTGGGTCGTTCCGGTTACGTAGACCCGACTGTCGTGGGAACGTTTTTTTTTTTTTAGAATCTTATCTACAAGTGTGTGTAAAAATGTTTTGATGCGAGCCACGCGTTTGGGCGCAGCAGCCCAAAATTGTTGTGCAAATCACTAGATTTGAGAATTTTTGTTTTTTTTTGTGGTGTTTTCGAAGCAAATTATGGCAACTACCTACATATTACTTTTCTTTTAACACCCCCACCGAGATATATATATGTATGTACAAACATGTGTACAGTGCACAAAAATAAAAACTCACCCAATAAATGATGCACAGAGATGACAAACAGGCTCTTCGAAGTCACGTTGTATTGACGACACTTTTTCAGAAATTTCAACGGCATTGCTATCTAATTGGACTTGCTTTGGTCTGCACAAGCACTTGTTATTTCTAGCTTCGCAGCGTCGTTCGTTGTATTCGCTATGTCGCTTTTGTTGTTGTTGTAAACTTCGTTGACGCCGTCGTTTGCTATCATCCGCCTTTCACGTTGACGTTAGCTGCTAGACACATTCAACCAACCCACAATTGGACTTGTTGCGCCAACGTACACGATTTCCAACAATGGTAATCAGTCGGCGTCGACGTCGGCGACAACGCTTCAGTCTGTTGTTGCTATTACTGGAGCAGCGACAGCCACACGCACCTTTTTGTAGTATCGTTGGCCATTTGCATATTAATTACACAATCTTTATCCCCATACACTGCTTTGGGTTTCTAAAAATGTATAATTTTTATGTATTACCTTTCTTCGGGGGGTTTTTAATGTGAATAAGTGTACACGTACACGAATTTGGCCCGCCGCCTACACAGAAGAACTTTATTAACCCACTATTTATGGTTGGTCTTATTAATTAGTACTATGTATAAGGCACAGAATTTTCGCATTCGATTGTTTTTTAAGGCACAATAAAAACAGCTAACGAGTATTTGCAGCTGTAATTCAATTTGATATGCTTGAAACTAGCCAACACTTGACATACTTAACAGTGCGGCTAACACAAATATTCGTAATTTAATTGTAAGAAACTTTCGCAAATTTTCCACGCTATCACGCAATCGGCCGTCGTTGTTTAGATTTCTATGATTATGCGCAAATTATTCACCAAGAATATTACACCTACTCGTTATCCGTTTGATGATAAATGAAAAGTTAATAAACTCACACAAAAAATGTTAACAGAAAACATAAAATTATTTTAAGAAAAGAAGAAAGAATTTCGCTGCGAGGGAATTAAATGGAAATGTCAATATCATCGAGGACGTCAGTTGAAAATAGAATGTCAAACTTGCTGGAATTTTTCTGGAATGTACTAACGGCAATCAGTGGAATGAACTGTCGGAAGTACAGGGCGATAAACAGTTTTTGAAATGCAAGTTGACAATAAAGCTGCATTTACATGAGGCGATTTTTTCACAACGGATAATCGCATGCAAAAGTCGACTTGCTCTCAACTTTGAGTAAAGCGATTTTTGAATCATTGGCTGCGTTTCTTTATTCATTCTGAACGTTTGGAATAAACTTTTTTGTTTATTTATTCTTTAGAACGTTCCTGATGNTATGCAAGTTGACAATAAAGCTGCCTTTACATGAGGCGATTTTTTCACAACGGATAATCGCATGCAAAAGTCGACTTGCTCTCAACTTTGAGGCAAGCGATTTTTGAATCATTGGCTGCGTTTCTTTATTCATTCTGAACGTTTGGAATAAACTTTTTTGTTTATTTATTCTTTAGAACGTTCCTGATGATATGTTGACGTATATTTCAAACGCATTCTGTTTATTCCGGCTGTGAAATGGGATTATCCGGATTCCGGAATGTATAAAGAAACGCAGCCACTATTTACACTTTAAGCTGCCTTTACATGAGGCGATTTTCCAGGCGATTCAACATTGCTCTGGAAAAATCGCTTGTGTAAATAGTGATTCAAAAATCGCTTGTCTCAAAGTGGCTGTCAAAAAATTGCTTATTTTAAAGGCAGCTTAAGACATAAGCAATAACCAGAGAACGTTTCCCTGCAAAAATCGTTGGACCATGTAGTCTATTTGTGGTAAATTGGAGTACTTACAAAAGTGTTCCTCTGTCATGCTGTAGCGGACCAACTCGTGTCTCTGCGCCAGCTTATTGTTTGTTATCGGATCACTGCTCGTGTTTTACCGAAATGTCATTGAAGTTGAGCATTTGAAAGCACATTTGCATGTCTGGTTGTAGCTGAACGTGTAGGGATGCTCGCTGTTAGTTCTTAGCTCCCAGCATGTTCTGGTTCGAATGCCGTCAGAGGCAACATGTAATTTTTAATTTTTGTCTTGGTTTTTATTAATTTCGAAAAAGCATTTGAGAAGTGAAGAACAAAAGCGTGTACAAACGAAAAAATATAACAACAATGCCATTGTTAATATGTTGCAGTAGTTTTGTGCTACTCTGATGTAATGCAGGGATGGAGTATATGGTCCTGCCCTAGGACATCGCAATGTTAATTGGACCATATTTTTTATATGAATTGTGGTTAATTTTGGAGTACTCTTTACACGCATGCATGGAGTAGTCACGATTTTTGCAGGGTTAATACAAAGAAGCAGCAATTACGAATAGCCGTGTGAATTGTCAAACACTACCAAAAACGCTCTAGAAGCTCACCACTCGAATCGAAAATTGAGAGCGGCAAATTAACAGATCTCAGCGGCAAGTTAACAGAGCTGAGCGGAGATACAATTTTGTTAATTTGTATCAATGTCAAGTTCTTTGGTTTGGATTTTCGTTTTCGCGGCATTGATTTAATAAAAAAAAGATGAAAATTCTTGGTTAAATTAATGCAAATTTATTTTCGAAGATATATGCCAGGGAATGCTTTAACTCCAAAAAGTAGATTTGTTATTTAATAAATATGTGAAATCTATGCAAATATGCAAACTCATTGGTGAATTGCCGTCGGCATTTGGGTCGAAAAAATCGTTTTTTTTTTTTAACGATTCTTATTGTAGTTGCTACGCTATTTGCAATGCAACAAACCGCAGTTTGCTAGGTGCTTTAGTTTTTTCCCAAATTCACTTTAGAGATAGACACATTGACAAAAAAAGCCTACAAATGCGTACTCTTTGGTAATATGTTGTCGGCATTTAAAAGCGAAGAAAAATTCAGTAGTTATTTTTTAACAATTGCTACGCTGCTTTCAATGCAACAAACCGCAGTTTTCTTGCTAGTAAATTTACTTCAAAGATGGATACATTGACAAAAACGTACAAAAGCATCAATTGCAAAGTGGTTTTTCTCGAAAAGTTATGTTTGAGTTTTATGAACATTTATTTCGAGAAAATATGCCATATGCATATAACCTAAGCAAACACCTTTTCTTAAAATCTCAGACCTTTNAAAAATGTGCTATATGCATATAACCTAAGCAAATGCTCTTGCTTAAAATCTCAGACCTTTTACTCGATTTGTTCGAATAAATTTAAGTGA